TGTAAATGTAATAATAATAATAACAGAGAAAAATAATAAATAACTTTGACTTGAGTATAAGCTGAGGGAGGCTTTTTCAGCCTGAAAAAAGGGCTGAAAAACTTGGATTATATTCAAGCATATATGGTAATTCCTCCTGTCAGTTTTCACCTTCTTTACCCTTCAAGTTGTCTAGTTCATTCACAGACGATAGTTCTCCCAGTCTTCTGATTTCTTGACTCTAGTTCCATTCTAATTAATAATGACTAAACCAAGGGCCCTTCCACACAGCCATATAACCCAGAATATAAAGGAAGATAATGCACAATATCTGCTTTGAACTGGATTATCTGAGTCCACACTGCCATATAACCCAGCTCAAAGCAGATGTGGGATTTTATATAGCTGTGTGGAAGGGGCCCAAAAGCTGGTTTAGTCATTCAGTATTTCAATGTCTTTATCATTTACTTCAAAGTTATATAAACCATGTTTTCATTATTTTAAAAAAATATTCAACAGTAAGCCTGCCTTTGCACTTTCTTCCTCGACTTTCTTTGTAGTTGGATCATAAACCTGGTTTCTAGTTATACTGATGGGTTCTCCCTGATATCTTAATATTAGACTTTGCATTATATCCCTTGACAATTTTTGCTATCTCTTGCCTCACTATTTTTGGAAGTTTACACTATCCTCAGTATTTAATGAACAGTTTTGGCAAGCTACATTTTAACTTGATTTCATTTAAAAAAACAAACCTCTGTTATTATGAACACGCTAGCAGCTTATTGGTGCTTGTACTTTTCCAAATGTTGAAATGGAACAACAGGCCAATATATGCAGTAAATATGTTGTCGAAGGCTTTCATGGCCGGAATCACTGGGTTGCTGTGAGTTTTCCAAGCTGTCTGGCCATGTTCCAGAAGCATTTTCTCCTGACGTCTCGCCCACATCTATGGCAGGCATCCTCAGGGGTTGTGAGGTCTTCTGGAAACTAGGCAAGTGAGGTTTATATATCTGTGGAAGTCCAGGGTAGGAGAAAGAACTCTTCTCAGCTAATGCAATTGGCCACCTTGATTAGCATGTAATGGCCTTGTAGCTTCACAGCCTGGCTGATTGCTGCCTGGGGGTCCTTTGTTGGGAAGTGTTAGTTGGTCCTGATTTATTCTTGTCTGGAATTCTCCTGGTTTTTTAGTGTTGCTCTTTATTTACTGTCCTGATTTTAGAGTTTTTAAAATAGTGGTAGCCAGATTTTGTTCATTTTCCCCCACCCTGGATATTCCACAGATATACCCCACTTGTCTAGTTTCCAACAGTCCTAACAAGCTCTAAGGATGCCTGCCATAGATATGGGCAAAATGTCAGGAGAGAATGCTTCTGGAACATGGCCATTCAGCCCCAAACTCTCATAAACCCTATGCAATACATGTTTGCTCTTTTTTAAAAAAAAGTTAGTTCTGGAATTAAAAGAAGTCCCCATGTGATGGCAGGAATCAATCTTCATGCAAGCATTAAGACCACTACATATTGTCATTAATAGGCATGAATGCATGCAAGACATTTCCGTTAACACAAACACACAAACGTTTAACAAATTGCTGCCGTTTGGATTAGCAAACAATACTCCATGGAATAGGGCTTCCATTAATAATGTTTCTTATTGTTGGGAAATCTCAATTGGGGAAACTTTGTCAAGCCCGCAAAAGGTCTAAAAGCAAAGTATCGTAATGAAGACTTTCCCTTTATTGATTGGGCCGCCTAAGTAATTTTTCATTAGTTGCCTAAGATTTTAATTCATAAAAGTAGTTAAAGATCCTGCCTTGGCACTCGCCATTAGCATGTAATTGAACTAGTAAAAAGGATCAGTTTAACCTATGTTGATTACCACCTTGTCTTTGAAAGGCAATTAAGGACCTCAATCATTGCAACAAGATTTGATTGTGTGGCCTTTATTGGACATTGATCTTTCAGCAAAGCGCAGTTACATTTTCCATTAATTTACAGTAACACAGTTTAACTCTGATACTTTAGACTATTGACCTGGGTAAGGTGTCAGGCTAAGTACTTGCTTGGGTTAAGATGCTCCCACTAGTCATTACTGTTTCAAAAGGGGATGCTGGGGGAAAGAAGGCAGATAGATACCCATCAACTAAGCTGAGACTAAGGTTTCACTTATCGGCATTTGTTTCATCGTGCTTAACAACAAAGTCCCCCGCCTTTAGAATGTCAGGCCCCTCGTTCCTTTAAGCATCGCCCTTGTATCGGGTGGAAGAGATAATTAAAGAAAACCTACAAGGCCACTCCTATTGGGTTTCAGAGGAGAATGGGGCAGCAGATCGCATTTCTTGAAAGTTGAAGGGTCATTGTGTATTGCGGTCATCCCTTGCATACAGCACAATAGTTAATTTCAGAGACGCCTATGCAATGCCTATCAAGTGGAAATTAGGATGGCCAAGATCCGGGAGGTGGATGCGGACCCCCCTTTAAAATCCCACACTGCATTCGCTGATATTGAAGGAAGCAGGACTGAAGCAAATGCAGCTCTGACCGGGATATAATTAAAACAATCCATGTTCATTAGCTAGCCAGCAAATACTTTCAGATATCACAAAGCCGACGCAGAATTGCTAATTATATGTAATCGCAGTGTAACTCACTTGAGCCTATTTTTGTATCAGATAGAAACTGCCCAGCGTGTTCACAAAGAACATATTCCATATAAAAGACAGTGTCTAATAAAATATAATGGGTTCTCCTTTGAAACTCAGACCAAAATTTGAAATTGCTACTGTCTTTCGAATCAGAGCTGCATCTCCAGGTGCTGGACTACAACTCCTATCAGTCTTAGTCTGCACAGCAGTGGTAAGGAATGACAGGAGTTGCAGTTCAGGAACACCTTGAAGACCCATCTGTCTCAAGCCATTTTGCAGAATTATTCCTTCCAAGAGAAACCTGCCTGATCTCTCCATGAACACTACATCTCAGGCTAGAAGAACACTCCTTATCTAGCAGGTGTCCACTCCCTTGTAGTTTTGATTTTCGCTATTTGAGTTTCATTGTTAGTTATTTATATTTAACTAGTCATCCTCTGCCATGCGTTGCTGTGGCCCACATGGGAGTTCTGTGTGGGAGATTTGGCCCAATTCTATCATTGGCGGGGTTCAGAATGCTCTGTGATTGTAGGTGAACTATAAATCCCAGCAACTACAACTCCCAAATGTCAAAATTCTATTTTCCCCAAACTCCACCAGTGTTCACATTTGGGCATATTGAGTTTTCGTGTAGAGTTTGGTCAAGATCCATCATTGTTTGAGTCCACAGTGATCTCTGGATGTAGGTGAACTACAACTCCAAAATAAAAAAACACTGCCCACCAAACCCTTCCAGTATTTTCTGTTGGTCATGGGAGAACTGTGTTCCAAGTTTGGTTCAATTCCATCGTTGATGGGGTTCAGAGTGCTCTTTGATTTTAGGTGAACTATAAATCTCAGCAATTACAACTTCCAAATGACAAAATCAATTTTCTTTTAGTGAAGGACATACATTGGGTTGTTAGGTGTCTTGTGTCCAAATTTGATGTCAATTTGTCCAGTGGTTTTGAGTTCTGCTAATCCCACAAACAAACATTACATTTTTATTTATATAGATGTTTTGATGTTGTTGGTCAGTTGCTAAATCCATTATGCTACTTATTTTTGTAAAAGGGTATTTGCAAATTGCCCAGACAATATTTACCAGCTGGGCAATATTGTAGGCTCTTGCTAAGGGGTAAAATATTTTACAACCACCAAGTAAAAAGAAGGAAATGTCTTGAGTTAATCATAGCTGAGCCATGTTAGTAAAAGAATGGATATAGTTTTCCCATTTATCTATTGCCACATCCTCTACCAGATCTTTCCAGGAGTCCTGAAAATGCCATCCCAAAAACACAATTGTGAGGGCGAAAAAAGTGAACCCAGGTGGTACTTTTAAAGTGTATAAAATTTAGGGCTGGAATCTCAAGTAAATGTTAAGTCTCTACAGCAGGCATGGGTCATCTTTGGCCCTCCAGGTGTTTTGGACTTCAACTCTCACATTTCCTAACAGCCTACTGGTTGTTAGGAATTGTGGGAGTTGAAGTCCAAAACACCTGGAGGAGGGCCAAAGTTGGTCCATGCCTGCTCTACAGTACAACAAAAGTATTTATTTTCACTAAAACTTCTTTAGTCCTCATAAGAATCAACATTATTTACACAGGGATTTACTCTTTGTGAATACTATTGCCTTCCCAGGGGATTATGCAGTCCTGCAGGCTTTATTAGACTGTATCTCCAAACTCTCCCCAGCATTGGCTATGCTTCCTAGGGGATGCTGGGACTTGCCTTCCTACAAAATTCCTGCTCATGCAACAGGTCACACACTGGCCTCAATGGCTCCCCAGCAAACGATATTATATCTGACCCCCGACCCCAGCTGTCTTGCAAGTTCATCTTCTGCCATGATCAACCTGAGGAGTGCAAGAGGTCCATTGATTTTCATGTAATAAAAGAAAAATATTACATTTGCTTAATTGTTACACGAGTGAGAACACTGAGCAAGCAATCGGGTATCTGTTAATGCTCCAAGAAGCACTGCGTTGTACGGATCGATAGGGCAGTTTGTCAAAGAGGTTCTCCAAGGAGGGTTGCCCATCATGGTATAGACAAGGAGCCCTGCTGCCTCCACTTATCACAAAGCAGGTAAAGCAAAGTCAGCAGTCCCCATGATCAGAAATCAAATAATTTGCGGAGAACGGAGAAGCAATCCCAAGGAAAAACTGTATTTATAGTGTGGTAATTAAAAAACGTTTTATCAGCCTGGTGTTGAGGCCCAACAGCAGAGTATTGACAAAACCAGAAGCAACGAACGAGCAGTATTTGACTCTAAACTTATGGGCTGCACTTATTTAATTTTGCCTGCTGCTGGGGAAATCGGTTCCAGCCAATCTAGCAAAATGCTAATAGTCACTTTTATTATTAATGAAACTTAATGGAACACACCGTCTGCTCCACTGTCTAAACTATTTATTTAACTTGTGTTAGAAATATTCCTTAGCACCAAAGACACCAAGTTGCTTCTTTCCTTCCTTGATTACAGGTTGGTTTATAGCTGCTTTTAAACAAAGCGTGTATATTCTCTGGATACTGCATTGGAGGCATTCAACATTCAAAACAAATGTATTCTTAAAAGATACATTTACATACACTTTTGTCATAGCCTCGCTCTTTAAAAATGAGTAACAGTAATTTCGATGCAGCAAATGAGAATTTTTTTTGCCAAAATGTTAAAGTCACAGCAAACAAATGTATTCATACTCTCTGAAACTCCATTTATTAGCCTTAAAACAATCACATGTATTTGAAACATGCAAATTCTATGAGAGAAATTAGCTAGGAATATCATTTGTGAGAACAAACTACACACATAATCAGTAGATAAGGAGAAACACTTTCAACATTATATATATTTTCAGCCTTAAGAGCTAGAACACACTTCTGGAGATTGGAGTAGAGTCAAGTGATTTCCCAGGTTGGGTCCTTTCTCCATTGTGTCTTCTATGTCATTGCCAGACCCAAAGAAAACCAAAATGGTACCAAAGGAAGAATGGAGAAATGTTTTTCTAAGAGCTGATGACAAACATCAGTCCATCCAGATACCTGGACTTCTAAGTGGCAAAATCCAAGCTGTAATAAGCCATGATAGTACGATCTCTCTGCCTCTCTCTGTTTAGTACATGGCCCCTTCGTCTTCTTTGTTGAGGAAGTAAATTGTGACTGGGCCATGCTCCGTGTGGACCGTCTCTGTGACTCTGGCAAGGAACCAGGAGCCAATTCCATACATTAAAGTTGGGATGCCTATTGAAAAAAAAGAAAAGAAGATGACAAAAACACATCAGAAACAGTGGGTTGCTGTGAGTTTTCCAGGCTATCTGGCCATGTTCCAGAAGCTTTCTCTCCTGACATTTTGCCCACATCTATGGCAGGAATCCTCAGAGGTTGTGAGGTCTGTTGGAAACTAGGCAAGTGAGGTTTATTATTATTATTATTATTATTATTATTATTATTATTATTATTATTATAACTTTATTTGTACCCCGCCAGCATCTCCCGAAGGACTCGATGCGGCTTACATAGGCCAAGGCCTCAAAACACAATACAACAATACAGTACCTAAAGCAAATTAAAAACAATTAAGCAGTATAAACAACAAACAATAACAATACATCAAGACACTATAAAACTGGGCCGGGCCAGAGTAATGGGTACAAGATTAAAAGTGCTGATCTGGCAGGAAGTATGTAGGATTATAAAGTAAGTGCAGTGTGCAGCAATCTCAGTTCTACTAAAGTGCTTCTAGGACTTGGGATTGGAGATTCCTAATCTGGGATGGCACATCGGAACAGCCAGTTTATATATCTGTGGAATGCTCAGGGTGGGAGAATGAACTCTTGTCTACTTCAGGCAAGTGTGAATGTGGCCAGCGGGTATTATGCTATACCAGGCATGGGCAAACTTCGGCCCTCCAGGTGTTTTGGACTTCAACTCCCACAATTCCTAACAGCCCATGTCTGGTATGGACTCTTCTTGCTTGAAGCATTTTTAAGCAAAGGTCTGACGGCCATCTCTCAGGAGTGATTTAGTTGTGCATTCCTGTGTTTGAAGGGGCAGCTTTGCTAATTGTGGAAGTTGGAAGTCCGAAACACCTGGAGGGCTGAAGTTTGCCCATGCCTGTGCTACATAATACATAACTGGCTGGGACTTGGATAAAAGTAAAACAGCCAAGATGTTATGAGTTGGTTGGTGTTGGTGTCGTTGCTGATTGTTGATGGATGTTGGAGAAAGAGATCTACGTTGGAGAACTTGCTGAGAGAGAAGAAGAGGACGTGATTTTTGTGCAGAGCTGCTTGTATTTCATGCCACTGAAGTGCAAGATAAAAATCTTCCTGATTTGGAACAAAAACTCTGCTGTCTGCTTGCATATGATGTTCCATCAGGTGCTTCCAGCCTACTTAAGAGACTTAAGAGCTTGCCTTCCTTGCTCATAGAATAAACACGATAACCCCCAAGAAGGCCCCACTCACCCAGGTTGATCAACTTGAGTGCAGTGAAGAAGCGATCCTGGGCGGCCAGGTCCTGACGTGGGGCCCGGGAGCAGTGGTACTTGATGAAGGGGAAACAGCCGGTACGCAAGATGTGGTAGTTGGTGCCCTTCACCTCCCAGTTGAAGTGGGAGAGGCCAAACTGGTCATTGTGCACAGTGCTGTACTTGACACAGAAGGAGGTCCAAGGGGGAAGCCCTCTCTGCAGCAGGTGGCGGGTCAGCACTTCTGAGGCCAGAGGCTTGGCTGGGCCCTTCGCGGGGCGCAGCAACAATAGCCGGAGGAGGCCCCGGTGTGCCTTTTGCAGGGCCACAGCCAGGCCACCTACCTGACCTTGCTTTCCCATGTGCCACAGCACCCACAGGCCCCTTTGAGGTACCCCCTTCTCTTCTCTCCAGGAACTGGCTGGAAAACTAGAACAAAATGTGCTTTGTCCCTTCTTCAGCTACCTCTCCTTCCTCTGAGAGGTTTCCCTCAGAATAATAACAGTAAAGAACAGTGACTTCTGCTACTGCTTCCTAAGAGACTTAATTACCTCTTCTCTCAAAATACTAGTTGGGATGGTCCTACTGATAAGGCTCCTTTCCCTCCCTGCAGTGGTCTTTCCCTCCTCTGAGAGGTTCTCCTCAGAATAATAATAAAAATACTAACTGGGAAGGCCCTACTGATATAACTCTATTTCCACCCTCCGGTTGCCTTTCCTTCCTCTGAGAGACTTCCCTCAGAATAATAATAATAATAATCAATGACTTTTGCTACTGCTTCATAAGAGACCTAATTACTCCCTTCCCTCAAAGTACTGACTGGGAAGGTCCTACAAACCCTCTCTCCCCCCTCCCCCCCTCCTTGGGTTGTCTTTTCTTCCTCTGAGAGGCTGTCCTCAGAATAATAATAATAAACTGTAAACAACAACAGCAACTTTGGTACTACTTCCTAAGAAACTAACTTGCTCCCTTCTCTCAAAGTACTGGATGGAAAGGCCCTAGTGACACAACTTCGTTTCCCCCATTCATTTGCCTTTCCTTCCTCTGAGAGGCTTTCCTCAGAACAATAATAAACAATAAATAGTGCTTCCTAAGAATCTGATAAGGACCCCTTTTGTCACTTCGGTTGTCTTTCCTCTTCCTAAGAATAGTAATAAACAATAAACAACAGTGACTTTGGCTACTGCTTCCTAAGAGTCTGATAACAATGCCTTTTCTCGCTTCAGTTGCCTTTCTTTTTCCTAAAAATAATAATAAACAATAAACAACATCAGTGATTTTTGCTACTACTTCCTAAGAGACTTAATACCTTCTCTCAAAGTACTGGCTAGGAAGGCCGTACAGATCAAGCCCCCTTTCCTTCTTTTGGTTGCCTTTCATTCCTTTGAGAGGCTTTCCTCAGAGTAATAATAAACAGTAAACAACAGTGACTTTTGTTACTGCTTCCTAAGATATTTAATTACCTCCTTCTCTCAAAGTACTAACTGGGAAGGCCCTACCTGAGGCATTTCGCAGGATAATAATAATAATAATAAACAATAACAACAGCAACTTTCGCTACTTCTTCCTAATAGACTTCCCTCAAAGTACTAACTGGGAAGGCCCTACCTGAGGCATTCCTCAGAATAATAATAATAATAACAACAATAAACAACAACAGCAACTTTTGCTACTGCTTCCTAAGAGACTTCTCTCAAAGTAGTGGCTGGGAAGGCCCAACTGATCAGGCCCCCTTTCCTTCAGTTGCCTTTCCTTCCTCTGAGAGGCACTCCTCTCAATTCTCCCCCTCCCCAAATCGACAAAAAGTAACTTCTGCTGCTTCCTAAGCACCCCAAAGGTTTGAACTCCCCCTTCTTCGACTACAACCCTCCTTTTCTGCAGGCTCCTTCCTTCAATGGGAAGGATCGAAGCCAAAGCCTGCTTATCAACCTTCCCCCTTCATCACCAGGTATCTACTGGATCAAAACTTCCGCCCACTCTTCCTTCCTGCATTCTGCGCCTGCGCGAGGCCGACACTGCGCCTGCGCAACACTTTCCCACTCCGCCTTCTTTTCCCCCCCTCCTCGCCGAAAGCGCACGCACGCGCACCCATTAGAAACGTCACGGGGTTTTTTTGGCTCGGGCGCGCGCTTCCAAAAGAGCGCATGCGTAAAAAAGGTCCTGCTTACCTAAACACACAAATTCATTCATTCATATGTGTCTTTATGAATATCTATCTATGTATCTATCTATCTATCTATCTATCTATCTATCTATCTATCTATCTATTTTATCTATCTATCTATGCTAGCAGTCCCCTGATACGTGTTGCTGTGGCCTAGTCTGTGTATATGTGCTTTGTGTTTTAAATGTGTGTACATATTTGTGTATATGTGTACATATGTGTGTATGCATATATATGTGTGGTTTTGCACATGCATTGTAATGTATTTTTTTATTATTTGGCTTTTTAAGTCTTTTCAGCTGTGTTTTTCAGTATTTTTATGAGTGATGGTCACTCGTTGGCCTGATAGGTGTCTTGTGTCCAAATTTGGCATCAATTTGTCCAGTGGTTTTTGAGTTATGTTAATCCCATAAATGAATATTACATTTTTATTTATATAGCTATATTGAAATAAATAATCATATATATATATATATATATATGGGAGAATATGCATGGTTAGTAGGACCTTTCATACAAATATATATACACTTACACAATTATTAGCCATATATATATTCTCATATTTACATTGTGTATATATTGTATGGCCGCTTTTAACATGTGGGGGGCATTATATATTCATCTATATACATTTTTTTTCTCGTGTCAGGAGTCACTCCTGGTGTGAGAGCATTGGCCGTCTGCAAGGATGTTGCCCAGGGGACGCCTGGATGATTGGATGTTTTTATCATCCTTGTGGGAGGCTTCTCTCATGTCCCCGCATGAGGAGCTGGAGCTGACAGAGGGAGCTCATCCGCCTCTCTTCGGATTCGAACCAGCAACCTGTCGGTCTTCAGTCCTGCCAGCACAGGGGTTTAACCCACTGCACCACCGGGGGCTCCTTATTACATTATATAGATAGATATACATATACATATATATAGAGAGAGATTAGACTGGAAAAAATCAACTTATATCCCCATACCAAAAAAGGGAAATGCGAAAGACTGCTCCAACTTCCGTACAGTGGCCCTTATTTCTCATGCCAGTAAGGTAATGCTCAAGATCCTGCAAGGAAGACTCCGGCAATACATGGAGCGAGAGCTGCCAGACGTTCAAGCTGGGTTTAGAAAAGGCAGAGGAACGAGAGACCAGATTGTCAATATCCGCTGGATACTGGAGAAAGGCAGGGAGTTTCAGGAAAACATCTACTTCTGCTTCATTGACTATTCTAAAGCCTTTGACTGTGTGGATCATAATAAACTGTGGCAAGTTCTTGGTGGGATGGGCATACTGAATCACCTTGTCTCTCTCCTGAGGAATCTGTACAAGGACCAAGTAGCAACAGTAAGAACTGACCACGGAACAACAGACTGGTTCAAGATTGGGAAAGGCATACGGCAAGGCTGCATACTCTCACCCAACCTTTTTAACTTGCGATGTGCAGGGCTTGATGAATGCAAAGCTGGGGTAAAAAATGCTGGAAGAAACATTAACTATCTCAGATATGCAGATGACACCACTGATGGCCGAAAGCGAGGAGGAGCTGAGGAGCCTTCTAATCAAGGTGAAAAAAGAAAGTGCAAAAGCCGGGTTGCAGCTAAACATAAAAAACCAAGATTATGGCAACAAGAATGATTGACAACTGGAAAATAGAGGGAGAAACCGTGGAGGCCGTGACAGACTTTGTATTTCTAGGTGCAAAGATGACTGCAGATGCAGACTGTGGGCAGGAAATCAGAAGACGCTTCCTTCTTGGGAGGAGAGCAATGTCCAGTCTCGATAAAATAGTGAAGAGTAGAGACATCAGACTGGCAACAAAGATCCGCCTAGTCAAAGCCATGGTATTCCCCTGTAGTCACCTACGGATGTGAGAGCTGGACCATAGGGAAGGCTGAGCGAAGGAAGAGAGATGCTTTTGAGCTGTGGTGCTGGAGGAAAGTTCTGAGAGTGCCTTGGACTGCGAGAAGATCCAACCAGTCCATCCTCCAGGAAATAAAGCCCGACTGCTCATTGGAGGGAAGGATACTAGAGACAAAGTTGAACTACTTTGGCCACATCGTGAGGGGTCAGCAAAGCCTAGAGAAGACAATTATGCTGGGGAAAGTAGAAGGTAAAAGGAAGAGGGGCCGACCAAGGGCAAGATGGATGGATGGCATCCTTGAAGTGACTGGACTGACCTTGAAGGAGCTGGGGGTGGTGACAGCCGACAGGGAGCTCTGGCGTGGGCTGGTCCATGAGGTCCCGAAGAGTCGGAGATGATTGAACGAATGAACAACAATAGAGAGATTCATATATTATATATACACACACACAATTTTCTCTCTGTATATGCTTCATATATATGCACACACACCATCTATATATAAATGCTCTGTTCATTTTTAGGACAAAGTAAACAACAAAATGACTGGTGGTTGGTGCTGCTCATCTCCATTTCTAAGCTGAAGAGCCGGCATTGTCCGTAGACGCTTCCAAGGTCATGTGGCCAGCATGACTGCATGGAGCACCCTTACCTTCCCACAGAAGCGGTACCTACTGATCTACTCACGTTTGCATTTTTTCGAACTGCTAGGTTGGCAGGAGCTGGGGCTAACAGCGGGAGCTCACCCGGCTCCCTGGATTCGAACCGCCAACCTTTCGGTCACCAAGTTCAGCAGCTCAGGGGTTTAACCCGCTGCACCACCAAGGGGGGCTATATATATTATTCATATACACATGTACACACACACACAAATACACCGTTCTCTCTCTCTCTCTCTATAGAATAGAGTCATATGTGTGTGTGTGTGTGTGTGTGCGTGGGTATGTGTGTGTGTACATATGAATCAATATAATACATAATAGCCTCCCACATGTTAAGAGTCCATGCACGACTTTGGTTTTATCCAAATGGCATCAGGGCAGGTGATAATTTTAAAAGAGAAGATATTGCATCTAAAGCTCAAAGTGCCCATGTCAGAAAATGTACAGCCCCTTCCACTCCTGTGGGCAACTAAAGAGGGGAAAGTGTTGTTTTAAAAAATAGCATATTATATTTTATTTTATTAGAAGAATAGATCAATATTCATTTATTTCCCTCCAGGCAGGAGGATCAGGGTGAAGGAAGGTAACTTTTAAAACCCTCCTATTTTGCCGGCTCGAGTGCCTTGGTGGCCTCCTCCTCCTCCTTGTCAAACCTTAGCTTGTTTTGCTCTGCGACCCCCAGGATGCTCTCCACGTCTTGGACGGCCCCCTGCAACACAAACAAAGAGTTTGAGAAGAAGGACCTGTTGCTTAGGACGCACCGTTCTGCAGACATGCAGCATCTAGAACATGAACGAATGGATCCCAATGGCAAGAAAAGGGGAAACCTCACATTTGAACCAATGGATTCAAATGGCAAGAAGGGAGAGCCCACACAAGTTCATATTCTCTAGCATTTTAAAAAAATAATTCCATCTACGCTATCTTCTATTCCAAGAATAGGTAAATTCTTGTCATCTGACAAGAAGACTCATTACTTCCAACTCTGAAGTTTTTACTCTTCTGTGATTTGATTAGGAAATGACATTTATAACATGTGATTTGATGCCATGTTGAAGATGGAGCCAAGGTGTTTGATGCTGCTAGGATTAGGATGTGAACATATGAATTCAAATGGCAAGAAAATACATTCTCTCCAAGCACTACTTGGGTGCCATTTCATTATGGAATAGATTGGCTCAGAAGGATACGAAGTCATTTTCAAGAAAGGCCAAGTGACCATCTTTTGGGAAGGTTTGAGTTGTGTAGGATGTCAGTTGTATGGTCTCTGCAGTCTCTTTCAACTCTATGAATCTCAGAAAATAATCTGGTTTATTGATTTATCCCTAATAATAATAATAATAATAATAATAATAATAATAATAATAATAAACAACTTTATTTATATACCGCTCTATCTCCCCAAGGGGACTCAGAACGGCTTCCAAGTAACATCATCAATACATACAAAGCAAACAACATAACCATAAGATTAACAAAACAATATAAGCATAAAAATTGTTGCCATCTCACATAAATATTAAAAGTAATCCTGCCTGTTCAAGGCAATTTAAAAGGCCAGGCCGAGATTAGTGCAAGCTCAAAAATTCTAGGGGGCCCGGGAATTAAGTGCAGTGCTATAGCAGGCAACAACAATAATAAGTACGGGTCTATGGCTATTCATTTCTGGGGCCTATTAGAGGAAGTAACCTGGGTAATTGGTAGGAAGAATAAGACCATATTGAACAACGTCCAGGGCTGAGCTGGAACTAGTCGTTCTCAAAGGCTTGTTGAAACCACCAGGTCTTCAAGCTCTTACAAAAGGAGAGGAGGGACAGGACCTGTCTAATTTCCCTGGGGAGGGCGTTCCAGAGGCGGGGGGCCACCACTGAGAAGGCTCTCTCTCTCATCCCCACCAACCATACTTGTGACGGTGATGGGAGTGAAAGGAGGGCCTCCCCGGAAGATCTTAGAGTTCGCATTGGTTCATAGAAGGAGATGTGATCATGGAGATAGGCGGGGCCCGAACTGTTTATTGTTTTTTACGTTTATTATCCTTTCTTATTGTCTGCGCCAGTATAAAAGCTCAATGGTTTCCCGTTTTGGGAAGGAAAAACGCAAGTGGTAGGGAAGAGGGCATAAAGATGTTCTTCTGCTTCTTCAGCTACCAATTCCAAGAATTGGGCATATTTTGGAAGCCTCCCAAAGCATTACTTATGTGAGGATTTCGTTTCAAAACATACCGTTTCCTTCCAGCCCAAGCAAACCTGAATTACCGCAGTGAAAACCCCTTAAATTTAACTAACACATTTGCTGGGATTCTCAGAGTATCGACCCACCTGCAGTAAAAACATGTGCTGCTAAGAAGCAGAAACCCAGGATGCTTTAGCACTTGTTTATCAAACCGCAGGAGGCGTTTTCTACAAAAATTTAAACTGGGATCGTTAGTTAATTAACACCTCACCTTAAAATTGGTCTCGGCATGCATATTAGGTGCTGATAATTCTTGATAGATGATGAAGAGATGCTGAGCAAAGGTCATGAGGACCCCCCGGAGATGCTCTCCAACGGTTCTGTTAATGATATCCAAACAAATGGCTTTGCCAATGAGTCTGTTCCTCGCCTGCTTAAAAACAATTGCCCTCTCGTTTGGGGCCCCTGTTTGTACGGTGGAATTTAATGAGTATTTTCAATCTCCGTAAGGCGGCAATCTTTGGGGAGGTATGAACGATGGGGCTCCGTTTTAGCGTGTCGGCAGAAAGGATGTGTGTGATAAATAATATTTGTTAATCAAGGAGCCGCGGAAGGGCAAGGGGCTTGAGCTGCCCAAAGCTTCTCGGTTTCACGTGTCTGGCTGCGGTGCAAAAATGCCACAGTCAGGGAAAATTGCATTCTCCCAGAAATTTACAATCGATCGTTTCAGATAGAGAGGTTTCAGTGGTGTTTGGCATCCCACCTAAAGCAAGCCTTCTGATATGGGCAGCGGTGTCCAATTTGGCATTGGTGGCATCTTCATCACGGCCTGGTCCATTGAGTGGATTGGTGGTGGTCTCTGCTCTCAGGAGCTTAGTGATGGTGCCATCAGACCCAATGAGACCCATGCATCTATTAGTAAGAAACCTCTTGAGAGAATTCTGGACAGAGAAGACCAGCCCTTAACCTTCCTAATGCCGCCACCCCCTAATACCGTTCCTCATGTTGTGGTGACCCCCAATCATAACATTATTTTTGTTACTACTTCATAACTGGAATTTCACTACTGTTACAAGTCGTAATGTAGATATCTGATATACAGGATGTATTTTCATCCACTGGACCAAATTTGGCATTTGGAAGTTGTAGTTGATTTTTGTCATTTGAGAGTTGTAGTTGCTGGGATTTATAGCTCACCTACAATCAAAGAGCATTCTGAACTCCACCAGTGGCGTAATTGAAACAATTTTAGCATACAGAACCTTCCATGACCAACAGAAAATATTGGATTGGGTTGGTGGACACTGATCTTGAGTTTTGGAGTTGTAGTTCACCTACATCCAGCACTGTAGACTCAAACAATGATGGATCCGAACCAAACTTGGCACGAATAGTCAATATGCCCAAATGTAAACACTGGTGGAGTTTGGGGAAAATAGACCTTGACATTTGGGAGTTGTAGTTACTGGGATTCATAGTTCACCTACAATCAAAGAGCATTCTGAACCCCACCAACGATAGAATTGGGCCAAATTTCCCACACTGAACCCCCATGACCAACAGAAAACACTAGAAGGGTTTGGTGGGCATTGACCTTGAGTTTTGGAGTTGTAGTTCACCTACATCCAGAGAGCAGTGTGGACTCAAACAATGATGGATCTGGACCAAACTTGGCACGAATACTCAATATGCCCAAATGTGAACACTGGTGGAGTTCGGGGAAAATAGACTTGACATTTGGAAGTTGTAGTTGCTGGGATGTATTGTTCACCTACATTCAAAAAGCATTCTGACTCCACCAACGATAGAATTGGGCCCAACTTCCCACACAGAACTCCCATGACCAACAGAACATACTGTGTTTTCTGATCGTCTTTGGCAACCCCTCTGACATCCCCTGGTGACCCCTCCAGGGGTCCTGACCCCCAGGTTGAGAAATGCTGCCTTAACAGAAGGCAGGGAGGTGGGAGGTGAAACTAGGAGACCTAAAACTGAATCCAGGCCTAAAACTGTATTTGCATACTTACATCATCCCAAATCTGTGTCTCTTCCGGTCTTCAAAGGGGATAAAAATGCTCCCTTCTCTTAGCTGTTGGAGAGAGGAAAGGATTTTCAAATGTTTCAGGGGAAAATGCTTATGAGAAATTAATATATATAATCATAGATCTATATCTAGCTCTGCATTGTTGATGCAGGCATTGAATGCTTGCCTGTTACTATGTTGGAAGCTGGCCTGAGTCCCCATGGGGAGATAAGGTGGGATACAAATTAAGTTATATTATTATTATTTGAAACACAACAAGATGAGTCCACAGCAGACACTGCTGCCTGTTGTATTGGATCACACATCGGACACTTCCCAAGTGTCTAGGACTGTGTGAAGTATCGGCGAATAATGCGTGCAGATCCCAGTAAGGTGGCCTTTTGCAGCTGGCAGATGGTAATCTTGTCAGCGCCGATTGTGTTTTTAAGTGCAGGCCAAGGTCTTTAGGCACTGCAACCAGTGTGCCAATCACCACTGGGACCACCTTGACTGGCTTGTGCCAGAGTCTATTATTATTATTATTATTATTATTATTATTATTATTATTATTATTATGTTATTGTTGATACCATATTGTTTTTGTTGATCCTACTTTTCCACTTACAGAGCTGATTTATTGTTTTTCCTTGCAATACGGTAAATATTCAAAAACATTTAAGCTACGGATGCCTCAATTAATGTAATTTTATTGGTATCTATTTTTATTTTGAAATTTACCAGTAGCTGCTGCATTTCCCACCCTTGGCTTATACTCAAGTCAATATGTTTTCCCGGTTTTTAAGGTGCCTTGGCTTATATATGGGTTGACTTATACAGCAGGTATGGGCAAACCCGGGGCTGGATGCGGCCCCTTGGGCTTTTTTTTCTCAGGCCCTCCTCTCTCTCACCATCCTATCCTTCCTTCCTTCTCTCTTTCCTTCCCTCCCTCCCTTCCTTCCCTCCTTCTTTCTCCCTCCCTCCTTCCTTCCCACCTTTTCATCCTTTCCCTCTTCCCTCTTTTCTTCCCTTCCAACCTTTTATCCTTCCTTCCTTCACTTTTGTCTTTTCTTCCTTCTCTCTTTCCCTCCTGCTTCCTTCCTTCCCTCCCTTCCTTACTCCCTCTTTCTCCCTCCCTCCTTTCTTACCTTTCATCCTTCCTTCCCACTTTCCTTCCCTCTCTTCCCCCTTTCTTCTCCCTCCCTCCCTCCTTCCTTCCTTCTTTCCTTCCTTCCTTCCTTCCTTCCCTTTTGTCTTCCCTTCCTTCTCTCTTCCCTCCCTCCTTCCATTCTCTTTTACCCTTCCTTCCTTCCTTCCTTCCTTCCTTCCTTCCTTCCTTCCATCCATCCATCCATCCACCCACCCATCCATCTCTTCCTCCCTTCTTTCTTTCCTTCCTTGCTTCTCTTTTTCCTCTTCCTTTCCTCCTGGGGATATTTAGATGGGAAAATAGATGGTTGAGAGGGAACATGAGAACCATTTCCCAAGATTTCAAAGGGTGTCCCATTGAGGAGGAGGGGGAAAACTGACGTTCTGCTGCTCTAGAGAGTAGGGCACAAGGAAACAATGGGTTCAAATGGCAGGGAAAGAGATCTGACTGAAAAGATTTGGAAGAACTTCCTGGAGAGTGGAGTGCGGTGGAGTCTCCTTCTCTGGAGGCTTTTCCGCAAAGGTTGTCTATTGGGAGTGCTTTGATTGTGCCTTCTTGCATAGCAGGGGGTTAGACTAGATGGCCCTTGGGGGGTCACTTCCAGGTCTAGGATTCTAGGATTTTATATCAGGAGTAGGCAATACGGGGGTCTGATACATTTTTTCTCTCCCATCCACCATCTCATCCTGACCAAAGCTAATTCTTCTGGGATCCAAACATTTCCCATCTTTCCTTCACTTTCTGCCTCTGAAAGAGAAGAGGAAAGGGCAGGGACGGAGCTTGGAGAGAAGCCCCCTCCCTCCCTGCCTTCCCACTCCGCTCCAGCCCACCATGTGATTGATCCCCAAAGCAGAACGTTTGCCCATGCCTGATATACAATATATTTATTTATTTCTATACTTACTATATTTCTATACTGCCCTTCTCAGCCCAAGGGCGACTCAGGGCGGTTTACAAAACTGGCACAATTCGATGCCACAATAATATAAACAGTTAAAAGCATATAAACATCCTTAAAATTCCATAAACAATAAAATAAATAAAGCATAAATCCGTATATACCACTGCATCTCTCCAGGAGGAGACTCAAAGCAGCTTACATAAAAAGTATGAACACATAACTTAAAATATACAAATATGCAAACATTAAAACAAAATTAAACATAACAGTATTACAAATCCATTAAAAATATTCAAAGTTGCATTAGATATACAGTAGACACACTTCCCACCTCAAGTTCATATCCAATCCCATGCGCTTTGCACATCCGAAGGAAGACGCTGTAATAGATGATGGAAAGGTTGGCGTTTCTGATCGAAGTGCTCATGACAGCATAGCGGCTGACAATGGGGCCCTGAGAAGGAAAAAGCAAATATGTCCCATTTGCTTTCTATGGTTTCGTTTCTCCACGCTCCAAAAAACACCCCACTCCCTGGATGTGTTTGTGGGCCTCTCTAGGTCCTCCAGTGTGTTTCTATGGTAAACTCCATCAGTACTTAAAGTTTCTCATGTTGGACAAGTTTGCTCTAGAGATGCATCATTGCTGGGGTTCACAGTGCTCTCTGTCTGCAGGATAAACTACAGCTCCCACCATGGTGGTGGGTCAGTTCCCTCAAATCCCTCCAATAGGTTCAGTTGGTCATGGAGGTTCTGTGTGTCAAGTTAGGTCCAGGGCCATCGTTGGTGGGGTCCAGAGTGCTCTTTGATTGTAGGTGAACTATAAATCCCAATACCTACAACGACTATAAATCAAGGTGAATTCTCCCCAAACCTCTCCATAAGTTTTCTTAGTTCATGGGGGTTCTGTGTGCCAAATGTGGTCCAGGTCCATTGTCAGTGGGGGTCACAATGCTCTGACTTGGTGCGGGGTGAACTACAACTTCCATCATGTGGAGTCAATCCCCCAAACTCCTCCAGCATGTTTAGTTGCTGATTAGTTCTGCTCTTTTTGTTGTGTAAACAGAGTTGAAAAGAGTAATAAAGGGTTAAGGGAGAGGCAGTGGGTGAGATCATGGAAATTCCACACCAATGGAGAGTGTAAGAAACACTGGGATGTCTGTGGTGGAGGAAACACAGTAAAATCTAGGAGGAAATTGTCCCCGAATGAAAGCATTCCTTGGGTGCTGGGCAGTATGGTGTTTGAGGAGGACATTGGCAGAAGTTGGGTTTCATGTTCATGGTGCCCATTATAACCTGAAACGTCATTGGAGGGAGGGCTTTTGGTGGCTCCTCGGCACTGTTTGTAGAAGTGGGAGCCTGACTGTGGAAGTGGGCACCCCAGCCACATACGCACAAACATATTTTCACTTTTATTATATACTAGCTTGGGGACCCGGTGATGCCCGGGTTATTTGAGAAAGGCATTGTTTGTTTTGTGAAGTTTGGTAGTATCAGTTTGGTAATGTGTAACACGATGTATTAGAAAAAAAACAGTCTTTCCTTGTTTTTTAATGAATGCTCCCATTAGAAAATGCATAAGGATGTGGGTGAACTACAATTCTCAGAATTGTGGGTCAATCCTTTCCAAACCCTGCCATTATTCAAAGGTGGACATGTTGGGTCTGTGTGCCAAATTTGGTCCAGATCTGACATCAGCTGGATTCAGTGATATCTAGATAAGGGTGAACTACAACTCCCAGATTCCCAGGGCAATCACCCTCAAACCCTGCCAGAATGCACAGTTGGTCATGTTGGTGCTGTGTGCCAAGTTTGGTCCAGATCCATTGTTGTCTGGGTTCAGTGCTCTCTGGATAAGAGTGAACTACAACTCCCTGATTCCCAGGGCAGTCACCCACAAACCCCTCAGTCTGCTCAGTTGCTGCTGATCAATTCCTCTCTGTTTGCTATGTGCCACAGGAAAAGTGTAGGAGATGGTTAAGGGAGAGGCAGTGGGTGGGGTCATGCAAATTTGGAGAGAGAAAGGAACCCTGGGATATCCATTTTGGTGTAAAAAAAAAAAACCAGAACATCAAGGATGAAATGGTCCCTAATGAAAGCATTCTTTGGATGGTTTGTGTCTGGGGAGAACATTGGCAGGGGTTGGGAGGGGGGTACGTGTTCACAGCGCTCACTATAACCTGTAATATCAGTTGAGGGAGTTCCTTTGGAGGCTTCTCAGCACTTGGAACTATATTCTGTTGTGAAAGTCAGATGTCTATGTAGGTGGACACTTCTGCCACATACACATGTACACATTTAATACTTTTATTATGTGTATTAGCTGTCCCCTGCCACATGTTGCTGTGGTTGAGTCTGGTGATCTTGAAAATAAAATAAAGTTTGTAATATATGGAATTTTTTATGCTTGTGGATAAACAGTACTTGTTGTTTCTTTGTCAGTGTTGATGTAGAGATTGTCTGGTTTAGCTACTCTAGAACTTAGAACATATTTTCCTTTTTTAAGGGTCCCTTTCAAATGCAATATATCTCTCTGTGTGGGATTATATCTGTGGCTCTTTGTCAGGAGGGCTTTGTTTACATTTTCTTGTCCTGGTGAAGGGAGTTGGACTGGGTGGCCTTAAGTATTTTCTGTTGGGTCACGGGGTTCTGTGTGAGAAGTTTGCCCCAGTTCTCTTGTTGGTGGGATTCAGAATGCTCTTTGATTGTAGGTGAACTATAAATCCCAGTAACTATACCTCCCAAATGTCAAGGTCTATTTCCCCCAAACTCCATCTGTGTTCATATTTGGGCATATGGAGTATTCTTACCAAGTTTGGTCTATATCCATCATTGTTTGAGCCCACAGTGCTCTCTGGATGTAGGTGAACTACAACTCCCAAACTCAAGGTCAATGCTCATCAAACCCTTCTGGTGTTTTCTGTTGGTCGTGGGAGTCCTGTATGCCATGTCTGGTTCAATTCCATCATTGGTGGAGTTCAGAATGTTCTTTGATTGTAGGTGAACTATAAATCCCAGCAACCTCAACTCCCAAATGACAAAATCAATTTTTTGAGTGATGGTCACTCGTTGGCCTGATAGGTGCCTTGTGTCCAAATTTGGTGTCAATTCGTCCAGTAGTTTTTGAGTCATGTTAATCCCACAAACAAACATTAGATTTTTATTTATTTATTTATTTATTTATTGTCATGTCAGGAGCGACCTGAAAAACTGCAAGTTGGTGTGAGAGAATTGGCCGTCTGCAAGAACGTTGCCCAGGGGACGCCCGGATGATTTGATGTTTTATCATTCTTGTGGGAGGCTTCTCTCATGTCGCCGCATGATTAGCTGGAGCTGATAGCGGGAGCTCATCCGCCTCTCCCTGGATTCCCTGTCTGTCTTCAGTCCTGCCGGCACAGGGTTTTAACCCACTGCGCCACCGGGGGCTCCTACATTTTTATTTTTTATTATTTATATAGATAGATATAGATATAGGTTTCTAGGCCACAACGTTAGCAGCTGAATAGCCTGGCCTGTAATGCTTGCTTGCCTTGTCTCCTCCTGCCACGGAGATAGCCTTGACTACGATGACCTCTTATGCCGCTACCATGGAGGCACCCTTGTGCTCATGTGTACACAAACAGAAGGAAGCTGTGTACACAGGAGTATGGTCTTGGCACAGCTGGCTCTTTACCTGAAGCTGTCGTTTTTGGAAGAATCAGAAAACCACCCACCGCTTTTGGAAGCGCGCTTTTTGCCAACAGCGGGCCGGCGGTAAAAATAAATGAATGCTTGATAAAATAATCCAAGCGGCAGTTTAACAAGCGTAAACTTGAATGCGGCGGCAATAACACAGAACTATTGTTTAAGCGCAAGCCTCGGTTTGATGAGGTGCTTATTTCAGCTACAAAGCAGGCAAACACATGCATAATGAACTGCCGGATGAATTATTAATGTCTTGCTTATTTAGCCTCATCTGTCTCGAAGATAATGTATCCTAAGTATAATGAGTGATTGGTTTTGTACATAATTACAGTAGCAGCAGTATCTAGGAAATGCGCTCGCTCTCGCTCTCTTTGGCAAAAGGAGATTTCTAAAAATACGGAAACCATCACTCGCGCTCGGTCACCGCTCCGTTTTATCAAAATCAAAGCAAGCAGCCTGGTGAATGTGTAATAAATTTGCAGGGACAGCGGCATTATTAACATCATAATTTCACATAAAGTGTTTTTACTTAATCATTCATTACAGATCATGGGCTGGAAAAAGATTTGTCTCCGGTTTTATTTCCTTTTTGGGCTCTTTCAAAGAGAACTCCGACGAACTGGCGGGAGATCTTTTTTTTTGTCGTCGCCAAGGAAGATTTCAAGGAAGGATAAGAATTGGGTGGGGAGGGAAGAGATTCTGGGCCAGGAGTGACAAATTTACGTTAATCCTGACAGAATTTTAATTAAAAAGTTGCGACTTGATTACTTTTCATTTCTAAAACACATCCTCCTGGGACTAATCATATCTGATTTACTCCTCTCGCCCTCAAAGTGGTGGCTTGACAAGAACAAGGGATCAGCAGCTCATTAACCTCCAAATTGCAGCACTCTGACACTTCTTTGAATGGCGTTGGGACACCGAGGAGGAGGAGGAGGAGGAGGAGGAGGAGGAGAGGACCATGCGCTCAAACAGGAGATGACTTGCCAGCAAAGCTAAGAGGTCATTTAAGAGATCCCTGAATTCATTCCAAGCAAGGTAGCCTTCTATCCTTGAGGGTTTGGTAAAGGTAAAGGTAAAGTTTTCCCCCTGACATTAAGTCGAGTCGAGTCTGACTCTGGGGGTTGGTGCTCATCTCCATTTCTAAGCTGAAGAGCCGGTGTTGTCCGTAGACACCTCCAAAGTCATGTGGTCAGCATGACTGCATAGAGCGCCATTACTTTACTTACTTACTTAAGTGATCCCTTTGAAGACGGTTTGGAAACTTCAGTTAGTTCAACGGGCGGCAGCAGAATTACTAACTGGGGCGGCATGCAGGGAGCATACCACCCCCCTGCTATGCCAGCTCCACTGACTGCCGGTCCATCTCCGAGCCCAATTCAAAGTCCTGGTTTTGAATTATAAAGCTCTATATGGTTCAGGCCCAGCTTACTCGTCAGAACGCATCTGCCCTACATCCCACCTCGCAATTTAAGATCATCTGGAGAGGCCCTGCTCTCATTCCCGTCAACAGCGCAAATGCGGCTGGCGGGACGAGGAGCAGGGCCTTCTCGGCTGTGGCCCCTCACCTATGGAACACACTCCCAAAGGAGGTAAGATCTGCTCCCTCGCTCCTGACCTTTAGAAAAAAAATAAAATCATGGTTCTGGGACCAGGCCTTTGGAAATAGATGTATGCAGCTTTTAGTGGGACAAGGACTGGAACGGCGACCCGATTGATGAGATTTTTTTATGGCTTAAATAACTGTTTTGATATTTGATGATGTACTGTTTT